CTGTCGGCCTGATGCCTTCAATTTTTGTGGACTTCTTTCCGGATGGTTCCAGCATCATCCCACTGGCGGCCACTCAAAATTGTCTCTCAGAATGGTACTGGAAGCCCTCCAGCTAGATCCAACATAATCCAATCAATTGATACTGCCATATTCATTAGGGGAATTCCCTTAACTGCCGGGAATCTAACCCGGGTCTCTTGAGTTTACGGGGATGCATTTCACAACACCTCGACGTACACAACGCCGCCAGGAATTTAACTTGGGCCTCCCATACACACAAGGATACTCACATTATACTACAGTCAGGGAAGACATCAAAACAAAAAGGCCTAAAGTATTTCATCATCATTCACTGAAAAACTTGCGTTTAACCTATTTCCCATAATGAGTCAGGAGTAACCCCTGACAAGTCTTTCAAAATGTATCAATTTCTTGGATTTTAACCATTCATGAGAGAAACCATCCATCCACTTTTTCCTGTCATTCATCCAACAGTGTGAGCTCATCCTTTTGATACTCGATAATATATCAAGCATGACTATTCTGACTCCGATGTGACTAGCGTCGAGGAGTGGTGTAATCCTTTGAAGGACAACATCCCGACATCAAGCCCCGCTTTAGGTTCGGGCCTCACCACGTTCCCTCCGATTCCAATCTTACGATCTTATCACTCTGCTGTCAATAGGATAGGACAACCTTGTCCACACAACCAAAGGTTGGTCAGACCTTAGTCATGAGGACAAGGTGACCCTACCTACTTCCTTGGAGTAAATCGTGGTCGCCTACTCTTCTGACAGCGTCCTGATAAAATCGCAAAATTTTCCTCCCTTTGAATGGTAATGTAGTCACCCCCTTCCACAAGGAAGGTGACAACATCCCGCTATGGACCAGGAACAAGGTTCCGGCACGGGCCTCATTACCGTCTACAGGGCTCACATCTTTACAAATTCTGTTACAATAAGATATGAGATAGGGTATCTTCATACCATACATCGCCATCCATTTATGTGCATAGTCATTTACAGAAAAAATACACTCGGTCATTCACCCCTCACTCAAAAAACTCATCAAACAAAATCATAATAATTATCTAACAAAATCACATGGATTCAATCACCAGTACTCATCAAACATCATGAAAGGAATCAACAATAGTGATTGGAATTACAAAAACTCTACAATAAATCCTTAGTCAGCCTGTGGTTGATATACCATCAAAATGTTTTTAATAGTTCCCACACTATACCAAATTTGACAAGGTGAGTACTTGACCAAACCAATATCCGGAAAAAAACGATGTAAGCGAAAGTGTATCATGAAAATATCAATCTTTCATATTCTGGCCTCCCCCAAAATCTTAAATATTGATTAAATTATATGCGAGGATCAGGGTTCTCGGTAGGCCTATGGGGCCCTTTTTGCAGCCTTACCCGCCCTAAGTGAAGGCGGAGGTGCCCGCCCTAACTGAAGGCGGGCCTGGCTTTTTGCAAGAGGCCCTCGACTGTCAATTTCATATTTGGGGTCCAGGCAGTTGCGACGCGCCAGTTGGTTGAAAGAAACACAGGCCGAGCACCGAAGACATTTCCACGGCCTACCGGGCCTTTCCAAAGAATGCAGGCCCAGGGCGTGATTCGCAGCCTCATTCAGAGACAGTTGGGCGCCCAACCAAACGAGGCCCAGCAGCCCACTAGCTGCTGCATCCAGGCAGCCTCGGCCTTCCGGAAGCTTCTGGGCCCAGGCCAGCCCAGCCAGGCTGCGAGAGCTGGCCAACTCTTTTTCCATAAAGGAAAGAGCTCTGGCGAGGCAGCCTCATTCAGGCACTCACATGCTGGCGGCAGCGCTGCTGGAGCTCATGCTCGTAGGCTGCTGCTAGCGCTGAGAGGCGAGGCGCAGCACGTGTGGTCGTGCAGAGGAGGAGGGCGCTGCTGAGGGCAGCGCCATAGCCCAGCCACCATAGCTGGTGGGCTTGGACTACAGTGAAGCGCAGGGGTGGTCTTCGGGCCAAAGAGAGGACAGGTGTGGTGTAGTCAGGGGATAGGTGAAGGATGATGATGATGATGTGATAGCACGTACCTTGTATTGGCGATGGTCTGCATGGGTGACATCTTCAAGTACTTCGGGCTGCCGCTGATGTCAACAGTTGCATTGTCTTTTTGTAGTCTGTAGTAGCTGTGTAGGGGTAGGTTGGGCGCTGAGCGCCAAGTGTGAGTGTGAAGGAACTGGACTCTTGTGTTGGGAGGAGAGAGTATGCTCTCCGTGAACATTGGTTTTTCAGTGCTACGAACTTCCATTGGTGTATTATTGGTGCAATGCTGCTCTTTGGACATAGTGCGACTATTTGGCTTTCAATGTGATGGTGTGATTTGGAATTGTCATCTCGCTGTTGCTTATTTTCCTTGCAATTTGGTATCGGAGTTGGTTCATATTGCGCTTCATTGGTTCTTTGCAATAGCTATTGGTGGTTCGCATGAGGTGAAGGGTAGTGATACGGCATTGGCGTTGAACAGTAGGCGGCCCAGGGTTGTGTGGGCGCGCCAGGGAGCTATGTGGTGACATACGGGGTGTATGCTGGATGATGAGAACTCGCTGATGTGACATATTAAGTTGAGGTGGAATCGCATTCTGCTATTGGTTGTGCCGAGGCAAAGACCGGTCATCATAATTGCACATCAGGTTACCGGTGAGGAATCTGTGGTTGGGGGCAACATTTATGAGGTACGTTGCTCCCTTCCTTATCTACCCTCTTCATCTCTTCTTATCGTGAGGAAGTGAGTTTTGTCTTGAGAGTCCTCTCGATGTGAGGTGTCGCGAGCGCTCAACCTTGAGAGTCGACATTCTTCCTGGGCAGCAAGCTGGTGGGAGACGGGCGTAGCTTCTGAAGGGCCTTGGACGAAGCACTCGGGTCATGGTCACCATGCCAACCCGTTGGGACTAGTACACGCATGCTTGGGCTGCAAGTCCTTGGTTCTGCTGCTTGCGCAATAGAGGTCGTGCCGGGCATGCCAGCCTTTTATGAGACGCTTTCCAGACCGTCTATAAATATTTCTGGTTGGGGACTGGGATTGAATCTGGCTGTGATCGTCGTCCTGACTGCGACGTTAAATAATTCCTGAGGAGATGGGGGCTCTCCTAAAATTCCTCCTGATCAGCTAGATCAACAGGGTGTAAGGCTCGTTCCGTACGAGGGTAAATAAGAGTGGACTGGTTGGCATGTTCGGCAATGACTTGGGGCACAGGGGTGGACCGGATTGCACACCTTCAGACACGCTGCTCAACCAGATGCTCAAGAACGTTGACACAAAGTGACCAATCAAGAAGGATACAGGGGGAGGGGCAGATTCCGGTAACTGTTCACAGTGGCAATCATCTATCAATCTGCCATCCAATATACATCTCCAACAGGACATGTTATTTTTATTTTGATTATCTGGTTGTGACAGACTTTGCTAACAACTGACAGACAGCTGCAGGCAGATTAGATCTATGTTGTAGTGTAATCTGTTCCAGGGTAATCCAAAAATAGAATTAATACATCTTGTAGGACCTGGCATTAGTTGTTAATATATTACCTAACTGTTTCTGTTCCATCCGAGTTGTGTTTCATAATCGGTTGTGTGTCAAGCTAAGGTAGGATTCAGTGTGGATTCTAGTTTAGATGACACACACTGTAGCTCATGAGTGATGCAAGCACTAGTGAGGAGTTGCTAGTGGACGACCGTAGGACTACTCCCGGGACTGCTCGTAGTCGACCCTTGACATTCTTGGAGTTAGGTCCAGGAGACAAAAGAAGATAGCGGAGAGAGGCTAGAGAGAGGACAACGGCAAGGAGAGCGAGGGCAGCTGAGGATAGTGCCAAGACTAGAGTCTCAGCTAGTACTGGTACAACCATGGCTACCTCAGCTATGTCGCAAGTCTCTACACAGTCCACTTCGTCAGGAGTCCGTCATAGTGGCTCTCAGGTTTCCACTAGTCAGATTGCTAGCTTGCAAGTCGGCCAGCAAATTCAACTTACGCCGGAGGACTTAGAAATCCGGCAAGCAGAAGAACTTCAGGATGAGCTACAGTGGCAGTTGGACGAGGCAGCAGAGAGGAGAATAAAAGCCATACTTAGGAAGGCTAGACTAGAGAATAGAATGCATGAGCTAGGCAGACTGGAAACACTAGATGAGGCAGGTTTAGACAGTGATGGTCCTGTGCTGCGCAATCTTTCGGTAGCTGAAGCGCAAAACGTCCAACGGGAATCGCTGGCCGAATTAGTGGCAGGCCAGAAACAAATCCTGGTTGAACTTCGGGCTACTCGCATAGCAGTGAGGCAGCCACAGTTTGCTGTAGTTCCCCCTGCGGGTGTGGGTCCATCATCGATGATGCCACACACAGGGCCAACTTTCTCTCCTATGTTTGGCATGCCCCCTCCTGGCGGTTTAGCAGCAACTAGTGGTCCGGTTCAAAGTGTCTCTGTCGTACCATCCACGACAGTGGTAACTACAGTCCCACTGTCAAGCCAGGCCCAAGTAAGTGTGCAACAGCCTGTTTCAGTGGCTATGCAGCCGCTGCAGCAAGCCCCTGGGCCCATCTAGCCTATGTTATGGATGCCTAAGATACCTCTGATGAGTCCCAAGCCCTTCACTGGAGATAGGAAGAATGAGGAAGACTTGGACACCTGGGTGAGGACTGTGCCTACTTATGTGAGGCACAAGCTCACAAGGCCAGAGCAGGAAGTTGTAGTGGCTGCCTCCTTTCTAGAGGGGTCAGCAACTCGCTGGTTGAATGGCTTAGTGCAGCAGCAGGGCTACGGTAAGGATTTCGATGCCTGGGCTCAGGCTCAGACATTGGAACAGTTCGTACGGTCTGTCTACAACAGGTGGCATGACCCGCATTGGGCTCAAAAGGCCACCGATGCTATCAACAACCTTTGTTCCCGTAGGTTCAAGGATGTTAGAGAGCTTACAGACACCGTAGAACGCCTTCTCGTGGTACCTGGTGTATGTTTTGACCAGCAGGTTCTCCTGACGGACTACCTAAGGTGCCTACCTGCAGAGGTAAGGACCAAGCTGGTTGACGAGGCCTATGTAGAACAGCACACCTTCGGTTCTTTTTGTAAGAAAGCTCTGGACATAGAGGCAAAGTTGGGGTCTGCTCATAAGGTATCTCATGATGGTAAGAAGAGACTACCCCAGGACTGGAAGAAGAAATGTCAGTTAATGTTCGTTGACCATGATGGTCAAACGACGGAGATTGACGAATTCCCAGACCTTGGGGAGTTGACAGAGCAGGATGGGGCCAGCGAGACTTCGGATGGGGGAGTCGTGGCACCTATCAAGGAAAAGGCTAAAGGGACCGGGAAGAAGAAGGTAGGACGGTCCGCGGGTCAGGGAGACCAAGGGACACCCACATGGGTGAAGCTTGGTTTGGATTATGAGGTGTGGAGGGACCGAGTTGCTAGGGGCACTTGCATGAACTGTGGCAATTATGGCCACAGGTCGTGTACGTGCCGAGGCAAAAAGGTCACAATGAAGGTAGCCTCGCCAACAGTGGTGGGCTTATCTTCGAATTCTGGGAGTGCTTCTGCGAGCAGCTCACAGGGAAACACCTCGGGCCAGTAGGAGTGTTAGCCGCTCTTACTCGCGTTGAAGTGGTAACGTTGCCTTCCCTACTTCAGGCGTTGGCCAAGGCTAGAGACCCACACATCGCCCCGCGAGCACATTCAAACCCACCGACGTGTCTGTGGCCCTAGAAGAGTTAGAAATTGAGTGGTCAGGGAAGGACTTAAGGAACTCTTGGGCGATGATCAGTAGAGGTCCAAAGGGTGAACATTTTGCGGTGGAAGTAGATGTAGGTGGCCGCAATGTTGGCGCCTTCGCAGACATAGGCTCTACACAAAATTTCATCAATCGTGCTTGTGTGGATAGACTGCGCTTAAGGGACCACCAAGTGCAGCGGCTTAGCAAAACTGTAGCTTCTACGCTGGCCAACAAGCACCAAATGTTTGTGAAAGACTATGTCAAGGACGTAATCTGCATCTTCTCCTGTAGAGGAGGGGAAGTGAGTCATAAAATCTCCTTCCTGGTTAGTGACGAACTGCCATTTGACATGCTCCTACTACCTTGAGGTCGCGCAACCGCAGTTTGATTGGGATAGTAAGGTATTGATTCACAAGTTGCCCAACGGTAGATCTGTTAGATTGCAAAAGTTCAAAGTTAGCAGTCTAATAGAAAATTACGGGTGCATGTGTGCATCATCCTTCGATAACTATTATAAGCAGAATCGCGAGGAGGGCATGTATCTAGTATTTGTCTCTGAGAAAGGGGAGGCCGTTAAATCACCCCCAGAGATAGAAAAAGTCGTCGCTCAATATTCAGACCTTTTTGAGGAGCCCACAGGCGTGGTAGAAAGGGAGGTTGTCCATGCGATAGAGGTTGTCCCAGGTAGTAAGGTGCCTAGACGACGAATCTATAGGATGTCTCCTGCGAAGTTAGATGAGCTTCGCCGCCAGCTCAAGGAGCTCACAGAGAAGGGATGGATACGGCCTAGTACCTCCCCTTACGGTGCGCCAGTCTTATTTGTCCCAAAGAAGGGAGGTCCATTAAGGATGTGCATTGACTATAGGGTCGTCAATGCCATCACCGTTAAGAACGCGGAGCCCCTACCCTGCATTGACGACCTCTTGGATAGAGTGTAGGGATGTCAGTACTTCACAAACATAGATCTGGAGTTCGGATACCATCAAATTGTCGTTAGACCTGAGGATCAGCACAAAACCGCATTTCAGACCAGTTACGACCTGTACGAGTTTGTGGTGATGCCTTTTGGCCTATGCAATGCGCCTGGTAAGTTCCAGCACGCGATGAACAGGATTTTTCATGACTACCTGGACAAGTTTATCGTCGTGTACCTCGACGATATTCTCATCTTTAGGACTGTAGAGGAGCACGCTGAGCACTTGAAAACAGTGCTAGGTCTCCTTAGACAGCACCAGTACAAAGTGAACTTGGATAAATGCGAGTTTGGTCGCTCCAAGATCCTGTACTTGGGTCATGAAATTTCAGCAGATAGATTGGGGTCGGAAGATGCGAAGGTGGCTAGCATACGTGACTGGCCCAGACCTCAAACTGTTACTGAGGTCAGATCGTTTTTGGGGATGACGGGCTACTATCGTCCGTTTGTGAAAAACTATAGTACTATAGCTTCCCCATTGACAGATCTAACTCGACTTGACACCCCTTGGGAGTGGACTGAAGAGTGTGAAGCAAGCTTCAAGAAATTGAAGTATGTTGTGACACACTACGAAGTTCTTAAACTTCTTGATCCTGATAAGCCGTTTTTCGTGACCACAGACGCCAGCCAATATGGCATAGGCGAGGTGCTTGCTCGAAAGGAGGGGCCCAAGTTGAGACCTATCGAGTACATGAGCAAAAAGATGCCATCTCAGAAACTAGCTAAGTCCACGTATGAGCGTGAGCTCTAGCCATTTGACTCGATCATTGGTGGATGCCTATCAGCAAGATCCAGTTATGTCCGAGATCATTAGTAGATTCAAGGCAAAGGATAAAAAGACTTTGGACGAATTTACGATGGTAGACGGCTTGCTGTTTCTTGAGAAGGCAGGGAATAAAAGGTTGTGTGTTCCCAGTAGTGAGTCGTTGCGTAGTTTATTTTTAGGAGAATGTCACGATGCAACTGGTCATTTTGGATACAAAAAGGCATCAGCGAACTTAGTACAAAGATTCTGGTGGCCTTCTATGATGATGGATGCAAAACGCTATGTTGAAACTTGCCAAGTTTGCCAAAGAGACAAACCAAGGACTCAGGCTCCGCTTGGGCTGATCAAGCCCTTGCCGATTCCTGAAGGACCAGGTCAGAGTGTGTCTATGGATTTCATGGACACCCTTGTAACCAGCAAGTCTGGAAAGAGGCATATCTTTGTTATAGTGGACCGTTTTACTAAGTACGCAAGACTGATTGCCATGCCAGAAACAGCTAAAACTGACTACGTCATCAAACTGTTTATGGATAATTGGGTACGGGATTTTGGTTTGCCTACATCCATCGTTAGCAATCGGGATGTGAGATTCACAAGTGAACTGTGGCAGTCAACTGCAGAACAGATGAACCGGGTAGTACAGCACTTGCTTCGGCACTACATTAAGCCAAGTAAGGATGACTGGGATGAGAAGTTACCTCTCGTCGCCAGCTTGTACAACAATGCTGTGCACAGTACACCGGTATGACTCCCAACCAGTTACATCTTGGTTGTAAGCCCAGAACTGCATTGGACTTTCTGCTACCAGAAAGACAATCTACTACAACACCTGGCAGCATAGATTTTGCTGTCAAATATGAATAGATGCTACAGCAAGCCGTTGAACATATTAGGAAGTCTCAAGATGCTATGGTTGCATCTGAGAATAAGCATAGACGACCCTCTAACTTTCAGGTAGGTGAACGAGTCTGGGTAAAGTCATCTGAATTAGGTCAGGAGTTGGGGATATCCAGAAAACTGATGCCACAATGGGAGATCTTGGACGTTGTAGGGGATCAACCGGATGGGCCTTCATACGTGATCCGTATTCCTGCACACCTACGCACCTACCCAGTGTTTCATGCCTCCAAGCTGGCACCTTTCGCCGCCGCTGAGCAGTTTCCTTCCAGAAGATCAAAGCTGCCCCCAACCATGGATGGCGAAGTGGACATTGACCAGATCATCGAGCATCGAGTGATGCCCGCTCCTCGACCATCAGGCAGAGGGCGACCTCCTAAACCGAGAATGCAGTATCATGTGAGCTTCGGACATCATCTGGATCCTAAAGAAGACCGGTGGTTCACACGAGAAGAACTCATGAGAGCAGCACCTCAAGTAATCGCAGGCTATGAAAGAGCACCCAAGGGGAAAATGCCTGTAGAATAAGAGACTTCTCAGAGGACTCATGAAGTAAAGGAGGAGGGAATGCGAGGATCAGGGTCCTCGGTAGGCCTATGGGGCCCTGTTTGCAGCCTTACCCGCCCTAAGTGAAGGCGGAGGTGCCCGCCCTAAGTGAAGGCGGGCTTGGCTTTTTGCAAGAGGCCCTCGACTGTCAATTTCATATTCGGGGTCCAGGCAGTTGCGACGCCCCAGTTGGTTGAAGAAACACAGGCCGAGCACCGAAGACATTTCCACGGCCTATCGGGCCTTTCCAAAGAATGCAGGCCCTGGGCGTGATTCGCAGCCTCATAAAGAGACAGTTGGGCGCCCAACCGAACGAGGCCCAGCAGCCCAGTAGCTGCTGCATCCAGGCAGCCTCCTGGGGCCTTCTGGAAGCTTCTGGGCCCAGGCCAGCCCAGCTAGGCTGCGAGAGCTGGCCAACTCTTTTCCATAAAGGGAAGAGCTCTGGTGAGGCAGCCTCATTCAGGCACTCGCATGCTGGCGGCAGCGCTGCTGGAGCTCATGCTCGTAGGCTGCCGCTAGCGCTGAGAGGCGAGGTGCAGCACGTGCAGTCGTGCAGAGGAGGAGGGCGCTGCTGAGGGCAGCGCCCTAGCCCAGCCACCATAGCTGATGGGCTTGGACTACAGTGAAGCGCAGGGGTGGTCTTCGGGTCAAAGAGAGGACAGCTGTGGTGTAGTCAGGGGATAGGTGAAGAAGGATGATGATGATGATGATGATGATGTGAAGGCACGTACCTTGTATTGGCGATGGTCTGCATGGGCGACATCTTCAAGTACTTCGGGCTGCCGCTGATGTCAACAGTTGCATTGTCTTTTTGTAGTCTGTAGTAGCTGTGTAGGAGTAGGTTGGGCGCTGAGTGCAAGTGTGAGTGTGAAGGAACTGGACTCTTGTGTTGGGAGGAGAGAGTATGCTCTCCATGAACATTGGTTTTTCAGTGCTACGAACCTCCATTGGTGTATTATTGGTGCAATGCTGCTCTCTGGACACAGTGTGACTATTTGGCTTTCAATGTGATGGTGTGATCTGGAATTGTCATCTCGTTGTTGCTTATTTTCCATGCATATAGCCCAAGTACTTGTAAAATAGAACCTAACCTCAAAACTTAAATGAGTCTTGAAAGGTCTGACCGTGAATCATAAGCCTCGCAAGACCTATCAAGACGAAAAGTACGGGGTCTAAGACGATCTTTACTGTTTCAACTTTGCCCACATGCGATCAATAAGAATATCTCTGATAAATTTGCCTTTCTTTATAGCTGGAAAAACAAGCATGCTATTCCAGTTTATAAAAACTCCATCGACCCTTTTCCATATCACGGTCGAGATGCCTGCAGTATCTCATCCTATGACCCCACATACCACAGTATATACACCTCCAAAGCTTATCATACCTTTTCTTCCCAATCTTTCCTTGATTTGAACATTCACCCCGTTCTCGTGCCTCTAACCTTACACCAGAAGAAACTTTAACATTTTCTAACGACTTAATTTTGCTTATCCAATAGTGACTCGATATCCGTAACCCGATTTTTCCTCCCACAAATTTCTTATCTCCTGTGAATCACTTCCCTCGTACCTCCTTCAGTTTTAGAAAATTTACAAAGTTTCGTCAAATTGAGTTCCATTTGTTGATCACTATCCAGTTCCACTAATTTCCTCTTACCCTTACTACTACCATCATCACACGATCCTGAGAATTTGGCAATCATCAACTTCTCAAATTCATCCCAAGTATCAGAAACTCGTCGGCAACAAAGTTTGAGACAAAAAAAAACTTAAGGTGCTCTTCCCAAAGCATTAGCCCTGCTAACATCTGGAATGCTAGCAGGAACTCGACAACCTTACTTCCTTCAAAAGGGGATACATGTGGGCAAATGCTCCCTTCGTCATCGTATCACCCTGCAAAAGACATAACTTATATTAATAATCAAATGATAAAAATTTCATAAAGATAAAGTTAGGTTTGCTTTCGACAATTTTTAAACCAAACTCACATAGATACTTTACCACAATGCATTTATAATTCCCAAAAAAAAAAATAAAAAAAATCACCCGAGTGTCGTTCCACGAGGGACAACGGTAGTTTGTCGTTATCCCCGGCAACGATGCCACCTGTCGAGCGCATTGGCCCCCGCGCGAGCGAGGGCCCTCCCGGCCACGTCACGTAGGAGGTACACAATTAAAACAAAACACGGAGACAACTTAGGGACAACATGAAATAGTTTTCGCGAGCCGCCGAGGTGGTGCGCGGTTGTGTCGTCCCTTCGCCGCTCTAGCCAGGTGCGCCAATTGTACATCCCGTGGACCCTTACGACAGGACATGTTCCCACGGGGGGGGCTGTCACCACCCTTAGGGGCGTATCCCTACCGAGCTACCGACCCACGTGCGAAAGCTTTTACATGCAGTTGCAGAGGTGGGTCATTTGAGGGTGTTTGCTCACGCGCTGTAGTATAGGAATACTAGAATTAAGCGCCTGTAATACTAGAATTAAGCGCCTGTTGAACCCGGATGCTGTTCGTCACTTAGGGCGTTGATCTCCTAAGGATGAAGCGTATGTCGGTCGACTAGGGCGGTTTCAGTCGAGTATAGAAACCAATAACAACTTGACCCTAGCCCCTTGCACACAATTTCCTCATACAAGTCGGTAAAACTCCGACGAAACAGTTTGTCACAGCCCCTCATTTGTTGTCCTCTTCTCCCTCTCTGCCTACGGTTTACCGGGCAGTTCTATTTGACGATATATATGTATATGAGTTATTCAGACGAAATCACCAAAAATAATACACATGAAGTCAGTTTTTCATATCAAGCAGCTCAACAATTATGGCACAACTCTTGAATAGGTTTGGTCTGACGAAAAAGGGCCATGCTATCAGCTTTCCTACTCGTCATAATTTCAAGCTTTTAAGTTGAAGTTATATTTTTTCCAAGTTTTAAGTTTAGGACAACATTGTGCCTACAGAAGCTTGTCATGGTTAGCTTCTGTAAATAAATACCACTGCTACCATGCAGATCAACAAGTGATCTGGTTCCTGGTCGAAGTTTGAACTCTCGGTTCGACCCCACCTCCGTTATCGTCTCCCTCTAGCTTCTGACATGCGTTTTTACGCATGTGGTTACCCCTCAATGCACAAGCATGATAGTGCCATCATCGGGGTATTCCAGATACTATCCATCTGGCAGTCCTATCTACATAATGTGTTTTTGTTTTGTGTTTTGAGATTACCTCGTGAAACCATAAATAATATGGTTCCCTCAACGAGATCAATTTATGCGAGGAGTTTTTTGGAATCTGCGCAAGATTCCAGATTAGCGCACCGAACCACAGGTTCTACTTACCTCCTACCTGAGATGCTTTCCTTCGCCTCTCAAAAATCAGTTGGCAGGTGAGGCCAACATCAACATGCACACCTTCCCCTCGTTCAGCAAGAAGGCCCTAGACCTAGAAGCAAAGATAGGGCATGGACAAACACCCATGACGGATGGAAGGAAGAAGTCACTGCCTCCCAACTGGAAGGCGAAGGGTCGCATTATGTTCGTCGACAACGATGATTCTACCATCGAGTTGGAAGATAACTTCCAAGCGGGAGTGGGTTTAGAGGCAGGCAGCTTAGAGGCTTCAGGGGGTGGAGTAGTCGCTGCCTCAGTATAGAAAGGTAAGGCGACCGGTAGACGCCATGGAGGCTTCCAGTCTAGGAGTCAAGTTGACCCCAACGCTCCTCAATGGGAGAAAGCGGGTCTAACAGAGGACGATCGGTACACCCGGCAGGCGTGTATTCGTTGTGGTCAATATGGCCACAACCAATTCAAGTGCGGCAATAAGAAGGTGACCGAGAAGATCCTGCCTACGATGGGGTAGGTGTTGGGATCCGCCGCTCCCGGTAGGTAGCAATGTGGCCAGCAGTTCTGGCATTGCTCCGAGAAACGTGTCGGGCCAGTGGGAATAGTAGTTGTTCTTGCTAGGGTCGAGGTGGTGGAAACACCCTCACCATCTGGAGAGATGGCCCAAGCTACTGACTCCGTTCTCGTTTCGCAAACACATTTAGACCCATCGAGCCTCTGTTCGATGAATGTGTTCGAGTCCTTAGAGGAGCTAGAGGAGGAGTGGTCTAAATCAGACCCGCTAGCTTCTTGGACGGCATTGGCTAAAGCCCCTAAGAGTGAGATGTTCGTCGGCGAGGTAGTCATCGGCGGGCGCAAGGCCGGGGCCTATTATGACACTTGCTCGACGCGGAACTTCATTAGTCGCGCGTGCATTGAGAGGCTGCGCTTACAAGGGCAAGTGCAATGCCTGATTCGACCTGTGGAGTCGACCTGTGCCAACAAACAGCGCATGGTAGTCAATGACTACCTCAAAGACATTGAGTGTCTTTTCCCATACGCGGGAGGGGAACTGAGACATCGCATCTTGTTCCTAGTCAACAATGATCTCCCAGTGGACATTTTGTTGGGTATGTACTATCTTTCGGTTGCACAACCCCAGTTTGAGTGGGACCGAAAAGTGGTCAAGCACACAACATATTAATATAGTATTCATTTAATCTATTTCAATTTTATAAAAATATTGTCTCAAACAGAAATAGAATTGGGGGGACCGCTAGATTACGTAAGTTTAAGGCCAGTAGTCTGATCGAGTCCTACGGATGCATGTGTGCGGCCGCATTCTATAATTATTATGAGCAAAATCCAGAGGAGGGTATGTATCTGGTTTGTCTCTGTAGCAGGCGAGCCGGTGTAAATGCCGCCGGAGACAGAGGGAGTTTTCGCTAAATACCCTGATCTATTTGAAGAGCCGAAAGGGGTTGTTGAGAGGGAGGTCGTCCACGTGATAGAGATTATCCCAGGATCTAGCATTCCGAAGGGTAGGATCTATCGGATGTCTTGAGGCGAGCTTGATCATCTCCGCCGACAACTCAAGGGACTCGTAGAGAAGGGTTGGATTCGAACGAGTGTCTCCCCATATGGATCTCCTGTCTTATTTGTACCGAAGAAGGGGGGAACTTTGAGGATGTGCATTGACTATATGGGCCTCAATGCCATCACTGTAAAGAACCGAGAGCCCCTACCGAGCATCAATGACTTGTTAGATTGAGTGCAAGGGTGCAGGTACTTAAGTAAGATAGATTTGAAGTTCAGGTACCATCAGATTGCAATACGGCGTGAGGATCAACACAAAACTTCTTTTCAGACCCGGTACAGTGTGTACGAGTTTGTGGTGATGCCTTTCGGCCTTTGCAATGCTCCTGGCACCTTTCAGCACGCAATGAACCGGATCTTTCATGACTATTTGGACAAGTTTGTCATCGTGTACCTCAATGACATACTTATCTTCAGGAGGACTGTCGAGGAGCACGTTGGTCATTCGGACAAAATCCTTAGTCTCCTTCGACAACACAAGTTCAAGATTAACAGCAAGAAGTGCGAGTTTGGCTGTACCCGTATCTTGTACTTGGGGTCATGAGATTTCCGCAGAGGGATTGAAGCCCGATGACGCGAAGGTGTGACTGGCCGCGGCCTCAGTCTGTGACTGAGATGAGGTCCTTCTTGGGGATGACCGACTACTACCGCAACTTCGTCAAGAACTATAGTATGGTGGCCGCCCCATTGACGGACCTAACCTGCCTTGACACCCCATGGGAGTGGACAGACATGTGTGAGGCTGCTTTCAGACACCTGAAGCATGCTCTAACACACTTTGAGGTCTTGAAACTTCTTGATCTTGACAAGCCGTTTACCCACGGATGCTAGCCAATATGGCATAGGCGCCGTGCTCGCGCAGCAGGAGGGGCCAAAGTTGAGGCCAGTGGAGTACATGTCCAAAAAGATGCCCCCTCAGAAGTTGGCTAAGTCCACTTATGAGAAGAAGTTGTACGCGATCTATAAAGCGCTAACCCATTGGAGGCACTACCTCCTTGGGAGGTTCTTCTACGTCAGGAGTGAGATCATCAGACCCTGAAGTGGATGAGAACCTAGCCAGTGCTCTCCGATGCGCTGAAACGTTGGATCGAAGTCATTGAGCAGTATGACTTCGAGCCCCAGTACCTCAAAGGTGAGTACAAAAAAGTTTTTGATGCGCTGTCGCGTAGGCCAGATTTCTCCGGTGCGCTGATCACTAAGTTTGGACTTGCGGACGATGTTAATCGCTCTTTGGTGGAAGCCTATCGCGAGGACCCGTTTATGGTTGAGATCATACACAGACTCGAGACGAAGGGCAAAACAACTTCTCCGGAGTTTGAGTTGGTTAACGGCCTACTGCAAGGAACATGAATGTGGACGAAGCACATAAATCCAAATTGCAAAATCACACTGAAGTCAAGTAGTCAAAGCGAGAGCAGATAGCACAATGGAACCGAGTAACCATCCATTTGAGAACGATACAAAAGAATCGTGAGTCAATGTCCAATCCCAATCGGGCAACACTAACAACATAACCCAATGTAGCTCTCTTTCTTGAATGGCGCCAGGCGCCCTATCTACTCTACAGCCTAACACTACAACTGCAGCATGGTAGCAACCAGACAACTTGACGAGCAACGAGTGATGATGTCAACACCATGCCGACCTCTTGTCCACCAGGTACGTCTCTCTCTTCGCCCTTACTCTCCCTTGTTATCCCACACAGCGCCCTTCACTTCCAGAAGAACCACCTTCGCCCTCACCTCCCTTTGCGCCCTCAGGCAGCCCGGCTATGGCTGCCAACGCCCTGCGCCCTACCGCTTAGCGCCAGCCTGCCTTCACCTCAGCCTAGCGCAGCGCAGCACCTCGCAAATGCGCAGCATGCCGACATTGCTCGCAATGGCCAAGATCCCTGCCCACTCGCCCTTTCTGCCTATGTGCCAGTGTTGTGTGTGGGCGGCCTCCCTTCAGCCTGCACATGGGCCCCAGTACCAGTACCCAGGCCCAATGCGGTTGGGGCCCACGAAATACAGTTGCATCCCTTTCATCAAGGCCCGCGTCCGGATTCAGCTAGTGGACCGGTTTCCCATTGGCATTTTCGGCCTCTGTTTCCAGCATGCAATGTCGGCCTCACGTTTATGTGTCCAGGGCCTAACCAATTCTGGGGCCCTGGTCCTTCTGCATTTGCAGAGATCTAATACTCGGTGCACTCCAACCAACTGGCGTGCGACAACTGTTTGGACCCCAATTCGTGAAATGTTGAACGAAAGGGGCTCTCGTTGATTTGTTGGGCCGCCTTCACTTAGGGGGGGCACGAGGCTTGCTGGGGGCCTTAGCCCAGAACATATGCATATCGGCAAGGCCCCGTCGAGGGCTCCTTCCTCACATTCCATCCCCCTTAGCTTCGAAAGTCCGCTGAGATGCTTACTTCGCAGGTGCCTTCGCTTTTAACTTCCTCTCATATTCTGCCACCACTTGAGGAGCTGTGTGAATCAGTTCCTCTCTGGTGAACGATCGATCTTCTCTTGGATCCGTATGATGCCTGAATCTGACGCGATATTCTCTCTTGGGTTTGGGAGGCCTTCCTCGACCCAGTGGCTTTGGAATAGGCATGTCTCTGTGATCCACAATGTCGTCGATGTCCACTTGGCCATCCATGGTTGGGGGCAACATCGATCTCCTTGAACGGAATTGATCTGTCTCAGCGAAAGGTGCAAGCTTTGAGGCATGAAAGACAGGGTGAGTGTGCAGGTGTCCAGGGATACGGATAACATAGGTAGGACCATCCATCTCATCCCCAACTATGTCCAGGACTTCCCAGGGACCAAAATACTGAGGCATTAGTTTTCGAGATATTTCGAATTCCTGTCCTAGCTCATTAGCCTTGACCCAGACACGTTCCCCTACCTTAAATGAGGACTGTCGACAATGTTTGTTCTCAGAAGCAATCATGGCTGCTGAGATTTCCTGATGTGCTCGACAACTTGCTGTAGCAACTTCTCATACTGCACACCATATTTAAGTGTGCCCGAAGCTGATCTAGGCTTCCATCCCAAGTGCAGCTGGTTAGGACTGACGCCGGTACTGCTGTGTACATAATTGTTGTACAGGCTGGCGATGAGAGAGAATTTCTCATCCCAGTCATCCTGGTTGGGCTTGATGTAATGCCTCAGCAGGTGTTGTATAACTCTGTTCATCTGCTCGGCCTGTCCGTTGGCTTCGGGATGATTCCCGGAAGTCATCTGAAGTTGACTGCCCAATTGCTCAGCAGTCTTCTTCCACAGCTCGCTTGTGAAGCGGACATCTCTGTCACTAACGATTGACTTTGGCAATCCAAAATCACGCACCCAGTTGCCCATAAACAACTTAAAGACGTGTTCAGTCCTTGCGGTCTCTAGCATGGTTGTTAGTCTAGCTCACTTGGTGAATTAGACCATGATGACAAAGATGTGCCTCTTGCCACTCCTACTGGTCACGAGGGTGTCCATGCAATCCCTCTGTCCCGGACCAGCAGGGATAGGTAAGGGCTTCAACACACGAAGTGGTACTGGAGTTCGCGGCTTGTCCCACTGACAAACCTGACAGGTCTCCACATACTTCTTTGCATCATCTAGCATTCCGGGCCACCAAAATTGTTGTACTGGATTGGCACTTGTCTTTTTTTTGTAGGTAGGAGGAAGTCCAGAGCTGATCTAGGCTTCCATCCCAAGTGCAGCTGGTTAGGACCGACGCCGGTACTGCTGTGTACATAATTGTTGTACAGGTTGGCAATGAGAGACAATTTCTCATCCCAGTCATCCTGGTTGGGCTTGATGTAATGCCTCAGCAGGTGTTGTATAACTCTGTTCATCTGCTCGGCTTGTCCGTTGGCTTCGGGATGATTCCCGAAAGTCATCTGAAGTTGACTGCCCAATTGCTCAGCAGTCTTCTTCCACATCTCACTTGTGAAGCGGACATCTCTGTCACTAACGATTGACTTTGGCAGTCCAAAATCACGCACCCAGTTGTCCATAAACAACATAAAGACGTGTTCAATCCTTGCGGTCTCTAGCATGGTTGTTAGTCTAGCTCACTTGGTGAATCAGTCTATGATGACAAAGATGTGCCTCTTGCCACTCCTACTGGTCACCAGGGTGTCCATGCAATCCCTCTGTCCCGGACCAGCGGGGATAGGTAAAGGCTTCAACAACCGAAGTGGTACTGGAGTTCGCGGCTTGTCCCACTGACAGACCTGACAGGTCTCCACGTACTTCTTTGCATCATCTAGCATTCCGGGCCACCAAAATCGTTGTACTAGATTGGCACTTGTCTTTTTTTTGTAGCCAAAGTGTCCAGTTGCGTCACGACAACAAATTCGTTGTACTAGATTGACACTTGTCTTTTTTTTGTAGCCAAAGTGTCCAGTTGCGTCATGACATTCCCCTAGAAATAAATTGCGCAAACTCTCTCTAGATGGAACCACTAATCTTTTATACCCGGCCTTATCAAGAAAGAGTAACCCGTCCACCATCACAAACTCATCTTCTGTGGCCTTACTTTTTGCCTGAACTTTGCGTATGATGTCCATCGTGATAGGGTCTTCCTGATAGGCTCCCACCAACGATTGAGTTACTTCCTCAGATACACCAAACTCAGAAACTAGCGCCCCTAGGTAGTCTGCCCTTCGTGCCAGCGTATCTGCAACCTTGTTATACTCTCCCTTCAGATACTCTAGCTTGAAGTCATACTGATCTATGACCTCAATCCAGCGCATGAGTGCATCAGAAAGAGCCGGTCGAGTCTTGATCCATTTGAGGGTCTGATGGTCAGTTCTCAAATAGAAGAACCGTCCCAACAGAAAGTGTCTCCAATGGACAAGTGCCTTGTAGAGAGCATAGAGTTCCCTTTCATAGGTGGACTTCGCCAGTTTCTTTGATGGCATCATTTTGCTCATATACTCAATCGGTGTCAACTTCTTCCCATCCTACTGAGCCAGCACTGCGCCAATGCCATATTGGCTTGCGTCAGTGGTCACAATGAATGGCTTCTGAGGATCGGGCACCATGAGAACCTCATGATTCATGAGTGCATGCTTCAATCGTTTGAAAGCAGCCTCGCACTCATCATTCCAGTCCCAAGGCGTGTCAAGTCGAGTTAGATCAGTCAAAGGAGAGGCGGCTGTGGAATAGTTCTCCACAAAGTTCCTATAGTAGCCGCACATCCCTAAGAAAGATCTGACCTCAGTAACAGTCTGAGGTCGTGGCCAGTCCCTGATACTAGCCACCTTCGCATCCTCCAGCCTAATCCCTTCCGCGGATACTTCATGACCCAAGTACAAGATCCTAGTGCGTCCGAACTCACATTTCTCTAGGTTGACCTTATACTTGTGCTGTCGCAAGAGTGAAAGTACAGTCTCAACATGTTGTGCATGCTCCTTGACAGACTTACTATAGATAAGAATATCGTCAAGGTACACGACGACAAACTTATCTAAGTAGTCATGGAAGATCCTATTCATGGCGTGCTGGAATGTACCCGGCGCATTGCAAAGGCCAAAGGGCATCACTACAAACTCGTACAGACTGTATCGGGTCTGAAAAGCAGTCTTGTGCTGATCCTCAGGTCTTATAGCAATCTGATGGTAGCCGGACTTTAAGTCTATCTTGCTATAGTATTTACATCCCTGCACCCTATCCAATAGGTCGTCTATGCGAGGTAGAGGCTTTGCGTTTTTCACTGTGATGGCATTGAGGCCTCTGTAATCAATGCACATCCTCAATGTTCCCCACTTCTTCGGTACAAACAGCAGTGGAGATCCGAAGGGGGAAGTACTCGGTCGTATCCATCCCTTTTTTGTCATCTCTTTCAGTTGTCGCCGAAGTTCGTCTAACTCGGTCGGAGCCATCCTATAGATCCTTCCCTTTGGGGTTTTACTCCCTGGAATGATTCTATGGCGTGGACAATCTCCCTTTCTACGACTCCTGTGGGCTCTGTGAACAGATCAGGGAACTTAGCAACGACGTGTTCTATCTTTGGGGGTGTTTTAACGGCCTCCCCTTTCTCAGAGACATACATACCCTCCTCTTGGTTCTGTTTATAGTAGTTATAGAACGCTGATGCACACAAGCAGCCATAGGTTTCTATCAAACTACTGACCTTGTACTTCGCCAGTCGCACGGTCCTTCCATCAGGCAACTTATGATTTCGCACCTTCTTGTCCAGTCAAACTAGGGCTTGGCAACCTCAAGGTAGTACATCCCTAACAGCATATCGAATGGTAAGTCGTCTCTAACCAGGAACGAAATCTTGTGATTAAGTTCCCCTCCTCCATAGGAGAAGGTACAGATTACATCCTTGATATAGTTTGTGACAACCGTGCGCTCCTTATTGGCCAAAGTAGATGCTACGGGTCTACTAAGGTGTTGTACCCAGTCCTTTAGGTGCAGCCTTTCCAAACAGTCGCGACTTATGTAATTTCGCGTGGAGCCGATGTCTATGAAGGCACCACATTTGCGGCCTCCTACAATAACTTCCACAATGAAATGTTCCCCTCTAGGACGTTTACTTAGTGCCACCCAAGATTCGCGAGGGTCCTTGCTTGACCACTCACTTTCTAAATCTTCTAAGGCTTCAGACACATCCAACGTACAGAGCATAGTTTGGTCTGGAGGAGTCTGCAGGGTGACTAAAGAGTCATTAGCTATGGCTTTCTCATGAAGTGGGGAGGGTATCTGGCCCACTTCACCATGAGTAGAAGCAGCTAAAACTTCCACTTGCCTCACATGTTTCCCGAGCTAGAAGCCTGGGCAGAAGGTACCCCACCTTTAGGAGGTATCTTCTGCGTGACCTTTGCGTTCTTGCACTTGTACTGGGTGTGTCCGTCACCATAGTTAATGCAAGCACCACGCACTCGGCGGTCCGCCACACTTCCTGATCAAGACCTGCCTTGACCCAATCAACAACTTTGGCTTGATTGGAGGCGGTCTGCCCTTGACTCTTTTGATGGCCCTTCCCTCGGCCACCTGCCTTAGTCTTTACTACTGAGGCGAGGGTGCTACCCTCTGCGGTTTCCTCGCCGTCGTACTCTGTATTGTCCATCAGGTTAGAAAGCTCATCGATCTCGGTTTGGGTCCCATCAGACTCAACCATCATCAATCGACTCCCCTTCTTCTTCCACTCCTGTGGACTCTTCTTCTTCCTTCCGTCTGTTGGAGTAGGCTGAGCGCTTCCTAGAGTAGCCTCTAAATCTAAGGCCTTTCTAGAGAAGGTCTCAAAGGAATGATACTCGAGGCGAGCCTCGCTGGCTAGTAAGGTCCTGAGATTCTCGGGCAGACATCTCAGAAACATGGTCAATAAGACCTGGTCATCGTAGCGTATACCGGGAACGACGACGAGGTTCTCTACGGTAGTGGTTAGCTCTCTGACTGACTTGTACTTTCTCTGGTCCAATCTCGCGTCAGTGGCAATTTGTGCCTGTTGCGGATTATGCCAGCGAGCTTCTACCATATCTAAGAACTCTTCTAGTGTAAGGGTCTCACCCCAGTCTGCCATGCGCCGTCCGAACCCGACCTTCGCTACTATTCCATCTAGCCATTTGGCTGCCTTACCCTCAAGGTAAGATGCAGCAGTAATCACCTCCTCCTCTTGCAAAGTCCTCTTTGCCCTACCCACATTGGAACTGTTCTCAACCATGTGTTGAGTTCCTCGTCCTTCTTCTCCCCGGAGAAGGCAAGGGGCGGTTTCATTGGGGTCTTTGGGTACCATTGACCTTGCTGCTGTCCCTGTGGTGGAACAGTTTGTTGTGGTGATGGTGTAGCTATCACCGCTGGACCAGAAGAAGAAGAAGCAACAGTCTGTGTGGCTGCTGCAGACGTACGACTTGGCTGTGTGCCAGCTTGTACCGGTAACGGCAACGGTGACTGTGCTGTTGGCCGTAATCCTGGCTTTTGCAAAAGGTCCAAGATTTGGTCCAAAGAGTTCTGCATGAAGTCCAGCCTGCTGTCCACGTGCGCATGCAGCGACAGTATGCTAGCCTTCAACACTTTCATTTGGTCAGACATAGATGACTCATCCAAACCCTCTAATGCAGCTTTGTCTGCCTCTAACGTATCAGGCCTGGCTGTTCTATTTTTGATCTCTTTTTCTCTATCGGTTGCTTGTTTCAGTTCCCTCTCTAACCGTGCGTGGATCCTCTCAACTTGCTGGAGCTCTTGAAGCTCCCTCCCGCGTGGGGTCAACGGGCTGAACTGCGAGCCCGCCATTTGACTTGTGGACTGACCAGAACCTACTGATCTGGAAGTACCCGTGGGCCCAGGGGGCATCTCCAACTGGGTACCAGACGAGGGTATAGCAGAGGATGCTGCTGCGGTAGCCATTGCTGCTGCTCTGGCTGCTGCTGCAGCCTGTTCCCTAGCTGTGGCGTTTGCTGCAGCTAACGCATGACTTGCAACTAGTGCTGTATCCCTGGCTGCTGCGAGAGCACGGGCTCTTACTTCGGCACGAAGCCGTCTCTCATCTCCTGGCTGTAGGGTCTGAAACACGCGCGGGACCCTTAATGATCTCGAACGTGTCAGCCTTGCATCGTCAACTCTACCCTCATCGGTGTCTGACCCACTCATCAGTTAGGCAAACAGTATCTGCACTACAACTCCCTGCTGGAGTCCTACCACAGCATGTGTCTGACCGGCACCTAATTTTCTAAAAATAAATGTGTCCGGCAGGTCCCCTACTCATCCGATCAAGTGACAGCCTACAACATTCACAAGAGACCATAAACATATTTTAGTAATATCATGATTAGTTCTCTTACAAAAGTTTTGCATAGAACTGGCTATGGTAGTATACAACAGTCGTGAACTAAACTGTACGTGAGGTGTTAGCAGTCTGTCAACTAACTAATCAACAATAAAACTAAGTTATGTTGCAGATGTATGAACAGTGGATATGGTTGTGTTTACAGTTGAGCACCAATTAGAACCTACCCTCCCCTCAATCCAACATACCGATGAGCATCATTGAGCGGTAGTGTCATAGGTGTGCAATGTCGGCCCACCCCTGTGCCCCAGGTGCATGCTTATGACCAGGCTTGCCCATTCTTTATCCTCGCGTGCAACGAGTCTTACGTCCGACTGATCTGGCTGATCAAGAGGCCTATTTAAGGACTGCCCCCAAGGTCGCTCAGGAATGATTTAACGTCTCAATCAGGGCGACGATCACAGCCAGTGGACAGATCAGATCCCCATCCAGAAATGTTTATAGACGGTCTGGGAGCGTCTGCATAAGCCTGTTCAGTCCGCACACCCCTCTATCAGCGCAGCAAAAGTGCCCTCATGGACAAAGCAGCCATCGCGTGCGTGTACTAATCCCATTGGGTTGGCATGGTGATCGTGACCCACGTGCTTCGACTAGGGCCCTTCAGAGGCACCGCCCTTTCCCCTTCCAGATGAGCCACCGGGAAGATTGTCGTCTCTCAAGGTAGAGCGCTCACGACACCTCACCAAAAGAAAGGACTCTCAAGTTGGACTCACTTCCTCGGGGTAAGAAGAGATTGAGAGAGTAGATAAGGTAAGGGAACAACGTACCTGGAGATAGCTGCCCCCAACCACAGATTTCTCACCAATTGAGTTGAGTGTGCATTTGATGACCGGTCGCAGCCTCGGTACCACCCACAACGCAATGCAGTGCCACCTCAGCTAAATGCCACATCAGAATGCTCTCATCACCAATCATACATTCCGCCGTCACCACGGCATCCCAAGCCGTACAGCCTTCCGACGCACACCTCTCTACCCAGGTCGTGCGCCTATTTTTGGCCTGACGTCACAAGAACCAACTGCGAAGAAGCATCGTCAACGCACCAAGTCTGTATAACGCCAGCGCACCAAGATAAGTGGCGAATCGAACCAGCTCCGATACCAAAATGCAAGGAACATGAATGTGGACGAAGCACAAAAATCCAAATTGCAAAATCACATTGAAGTCCAAGTAGTCAAAGCGAGAGCAGATAGCACAATGGAACCGAGTAACCATCCATTTGAGAACGATACAGAAGAATCGTGAGTCAATGTCCAAGCCCAATCGGGCAACACCAACAGCATAACCCAATGTAGCTCTCTTTCTTGAATGGCGCCAGGTGTCCTATCTACTCTACAGCCTAACACTACAACTGCAGCATGGTAGCAACCAGACAAGTTGACGACCAGCGAGTGATGATGTCAACACCAATGTCGACCTCCTCTCCACCAGGTACGTCTCTCTCTTCACCCTTACTCTCCCTTGTTATCCCACACAGCGCCCTTCACTTCTCGAAGAACCACCTTCGCCCTCACCTCCCTCTGCGCCCTCAGGCAGCCCGACTGTGGCCGCCAGCGCCCTGCGCCCAGGCTGCGCCCTACCGCTTAGCGCCAGCCTGCCTTCACCTCAGCCTAGCGCAGCGCAGCACCTCGCAAATGCGCAGCGTGCCGGCAGTGCTCGCAATGGCCAAGATCCCTGCCCACTCGCCCTTTCTGCCTATATGCCAGTGTTGCGTGTGGGCGGCCTCCCTTCAGCCTGCGCCTAGGCCCCAGTACCTGTACCCAGGCCCAATGCGTTTGGGGCCCACAAAATACAGTTGCGCCCCTTTCATCAAGGCCTGCGTCCGGATTCAGCTAGTGGACCGGTTTCCCATTGGCATTTTCGGCCTCTGTTTCCAGCATGCAATGTCGGCCTCACGTTTATGTGTCCAAGGCCTAACCAATTCTGGGGCCCTGGTCCTTCTGCATTTGCAGAGATCTGATACTCGGTGCACTCCAACCAACTGGCGTGCAGCAACTGTATGGACCCCACTTCGTGAAATGTTGAACAGAAGGGGCTCTCGTTGATTTGCTGGCCCGCCTTCACTTAGGGCGGGCTTGCTGGGGGCCTTAGCCCAGAACATATGCATATCGGCAAGGCCCCGTCGAGGGCTCATTCCTCACACTACTGTTCCTTGAGAACCAATTTGCTGCAGCAGTTCTGGTGGCCCACGATGATGAGAGATGCCAAGCTGTACGTGGAGACTTGTCAAGTATGTCAGAGGGACAAGCCATGTACACACGCCCCTCTTGGGCTTCTTAAGCCCCTTCCGATCCCGGAAAGACCTGGTGAGAGCCTGTCCATGGATTTCATGGACACACTGGTCACCGGCAAGAGTGGAATGAGACACATCTTGGTCATTGTGGATAGGTTTAGTTAAACCACTAGTACCTCCGCCAGTGCTGGGAAATTAGGGAAAAGTGGACGTTTTCCCATTTTCCCCAAAGAGTTCGGCGGTGCCTTCTGATCCCGGAA